ACTTCCTTTTATTTGAAAATATATTTAATACGAAAGTATATTATTTGTTTCAGCCTAAACAAAACTATATAAAAGAGGTCACCAATGGATTACAAAGTGCCACTTTGAAGAAAACAATAATCTAAACATAAAGAAATCATTCTTTGGGTTCAGAATTCAGGCTTAGAACATCTTTTTCCTCTCACTGTTTATAATGGACTCACTTTCCTGTTACAAGGCTGAACTAGACACTGGAATCTTCTTGACTCCCTATCTGGCTTGTCTCTCCCACACTATCCTATATTTCCTATTGTCTAAACTCAAGAACCATCTCCTTCGAGTCAGTTTCTCTTTGTCTTCTGCTATTGCCTTGCCCAGGCCCCTACATTCCTCCTGTCTCTCATGGGGACTTTCATGAGAACCATGCAAATGGTCTTCCTGCTGTTGTCTCTCCTTCCAGTTTTTCTGTCACCAACCCCTTCTTTACCTTCAACAATCAAGCTTTCGGGTGGCTCCCCGATGGCCACAGAATCAAGTCCACACATGCTGGTTTGACACATTAGGAGCTTCACAACCACACCAATTTCCTTCGGCAGCCTCACTGCCCCTCCGTCCTCCTGCACTCCAGCCGCACTGAGTGCCTCATGGCTGGCTGAACATACATACATATGTATTCTTGCATGACTCAGTCTCTGCACATATATTACCTCCTTCCCAAAGACCGCCAGCCTCACTGCCCAGCCTCACCTCCCAAGGTTCCAGGCATACTCAATCTTGAAGACTCCAACTGAAGCCATTCCTGACCACTCATCCCCTCCTCTGTGCTCCCACCTCACTCTGCTACCATTTTCATAAGAGCAATTATCCCTAAGTATTGAAAAGATCTTAGTGCATCCAAATAGGAGTGAAATCCTTTTGAAGATGATGTACTTCTTTGCTATGCTCTTCAAAACTAAAATACCATTTAAGAAACAGTCTGGCTCACAATATCAAGGTGAAATAAACAATACACTGTGTATTTTTTTTTAAATCCTGGCTGCAAGGACCAGTTTAGTCTGAAAAATTTTGCTACAACCAATTATGACCATAAATTCGGGTCCCTTAACTACGTAGCCTATTAAATGACATACTTAACTATCTTAGTTGTAATATGATTTTGCATTTCTACTTTAACTGCAAAATATGCTAAAATTCTTAAAGCTTTAGATAGTGACATACAGACCACTTTCCATTACGTTAATAATACTAACTCAACAATGTCATTTGGTTGTAATTTTCAAGATTAATGAAAAATATTTGGCCAGTTTTAGGAAGACAATATTCTTTTCCCAAACATATATTAAAATAAGACCCTCAGATAAACGTAAAAGTCTTCCTGATATAAAAAGCACAGTTTACATGAAATGCAACATTTCATAAAATGAAATCTGAATTGTCGTATGGTGGAAAATACTACACGTTATTCTTTATGGAAATGGAAATTATCCTAGCGCTTGAACAAGGAAAAGGTAGAAATATTACATAAGGAAAATACCTGTCCTTCAAAAAAAGCTTAACAGTTACAAAACATAATGAGAGGAGACGATAGAGAACAAAGAGAAAGGGATGAAGGAGGTTCTCTGGGAGACTAAGTGGTGTCTCAAAATACCGCTCCTGCAACTGCAAAGTGATTCAAACTGAGGAAAAAAACCCCAAAGTCTTCAAAGTCTTAACTGCAAACAGGCTTACCACACTGACGAGGCTTACACCTGGTCTATCAACAGCCTGACTACTTTGCTGGCCCATAAACTCAGTAGAATCAGTAATATCTAGGAGAGAAAACTGCTTTCATAGTGGCAGCAGTGGGGAGGTTGGGAGGTAATCTCCCCAAGCCCTCAGCTTGAAGCAACAAGCTGGAAAATGAGCCACTATGAGAATATCTAAAATACGAACTGCAGGTCACTCATACTTACCAAGTGCTTCCCATGTGCGTGGCTCTGTACAAGATGCTTTATGAACATTAATTATACCTCATCTCTGCAGCAACCATACAAGGCAAGCAATAAGCCCCATTTTTCACCCAAGGAAAATGAAGAATACAGGAGTAGGTGCCCAGGTCACGCAAAAAGCACAAAGTATGACCAAGATACAGATGAGCGCCCACCTCCAGCCCGTTAGCACCATCCCAAGCAGAAGGCTTTGGAGACTAGACAGCAAGACAACAGAAGAGTCCAGAGCTGGAACCTCTTTCTCCCACTCATCAGCTGTAGGACATCGGACAATCAGCCACATTTGGGTCTCACTTTCCTCAACCTTAAAAGAACTACCTTTTCCTTCTTTCTCTCCTCAGTTTGGCCAACTCTCATTCCCTAACTTCCTAGTTTTTTGCCCATTTTTAATATAGTTTTAAAATTTCTGATTTAAGGTACTTTATTGTGGCCAGACACAGTGGCTCATGCCTATAATCCCAGTATGTTGGGAGGCCGAGGCAGGCAGATCACCTGAGGCCAGTAGTTTGACACCAGCCTTGCCAACATGGCAAATCCTGTCTCTACTAAAAATACAAAAGTGAGCAGGTGGTGCACACCTGTAATCCCAGCTACTCAAGAGGCTGAAGCCTGAGAATCACTTGAACCTGGGAGGTGGAGGTTGCAGTGAGCCAAGATCGCACCACTGCACACCAGCCTGGTGAAGAAGTGAGTCTCAAAAAAAAAAAAAAATACATTAAGGTCGTTTATTGTATCTGCAAATGCTTGTAATATAGATATTCAACTCATGATGGAGTGTGGTTATTGCTTTCTGCTGCTGAAAACTCTGACTCTGACTTCCTAAATTTTTCCTATAGTAGCTTTTAATGGATGTTACTTGTCATTTCAATTCATTTTTAAATGTCTTGGATTTTCCTGGATAGCAATAATAGATGCTACTAGGGAAGAAGAGGTGAGGCATCTGTGTGGTTTACCAGGTTTCTGCATTGACTTTTCTAAGTGCTATCTTTTTTGGTGAGTAGATAAGTCTCCTGATCCGATGCTGTTCTTTGTTTCTGGGCACCCTTAATTTCCTCTGCTTTGTCCTTTTCCTTCACTGCCAAGCCTCTGAGGGATGCCTCCCCCGTCTCTCCCAAAAGTAGCACCATCCAACTGTATCACCTAAAGCCCCACATACTTTCAAGCTCCTTTCTTTAAATTCTCGAAATCCACCAAGTCTCACTTCTGTTCTCATATTTCTCGACTAAGAATGAGGCCCCTTTTTCACTAAAGATGATTCTTATCTGCTTTCTGCCTCAGCTGGGTCTCAGCTATACTCTCTTCATTTCTACCCAGTCTCCATCTGACTCTCAGCTCCAGTGTCAACTCCAGAGCTGACTCTGCTGGCTTTGGATGTTTATTTCCCCATTTGCATTGAAGTTTGTATTACTCCCCGTTTGCTAATTATACTGGAGGCCTGGGTTATGTGTGCTTTTATTTGCTTTCTTGTTGAGCTGTTTTGTATCTGGGGCATGTGTGGAAAGATTTAGATTTAAGTGGCTGCCAACACCTTCCTCACCTGTAAAATGAAATTCCTGGGCAGAGTTCCAACACTATATAGTTCTGTATCAATGATTCTGAGAACACTGGAATCTCAGTTAACTATAGATTTCCAAAAGTAAAGAAATGTAAAATGCTTTTCAATACTTCATGAGAAATTAACAAATGTATCCTATCTATAGGCAAACTCAGAAATACCTTACCAGGAGTCCCACAGTAACGGAAGTCTTATTAGTGAAAATGTTAGAAACCATAACTACACAATGACATAATCTATAACAAGCTTGTACAACCTGTGGCCCATGGGCCACATGTGGCCTAGGATGGCTTTAAATGTGGCCCAACGTAAATTCATAAACTTTCTTAAAACATTATGTGATTTTTTTGTTGCGAATTTTTTTTAGCTCATCAGCTATTGTTAGTGTATTTTATGTGTGGCCCAAGAAAATAATTCTTCTTCCAATGTGGCCCAGGGAAGCTATAAGATTGGACACCCCTGATACATAAGCTGTTACCCAGCTGCTTGGGAGCCTGAGGCTGGAGAATTGCTTGAATCCAGGAGGTGGAGGTTGCAGTGAGTTGAGATTGTGCCGCTGCACTCTAGCCTGGGCTACAAGAGTGAAACACTGTCTCATTAAAAAAAAAAAAAAATCATATTATGTTTAAACATTTCTTATGCAGACTTGAAAATAAAAAATTTTAGAAGTCCTTCCTTATAGAGTTTCTCCTTAAGAAATTATCACAACATCTAACAACTTTTAAGGTAGTTTCCTTTTTAAGAAACAAACTCCAATTTAAATGATTCAAAAATTATACCAATAAACATGTCACATTCATTAAAGGAAAAAATGAAGAATGCACATCATAAAACACAGGGGCTGTTTTTAAAAAGCAGGCAAGGAGGATGCTAAAGTGTCGAGATACATTTCTAAAACTTTGTATTAATATTCCCACTGCCAACAGGTTTCAAGTTAAACTGTTCCAGATGAAAAGTTTTTGGTCCTTTTCTTATTTATTTATTTATTTATTTTGAGACAGAGTCTCACTCCGTCACCAGGCGCCAGGCTGGAGTGCAGTGGCGCAAACTCAGCTCACCGCAACCTCCGCCTCCTGGGTTCAAGCAATTCTCCTGCCTCAGTCTCCCGAGTAGCTGGGACTACAGGCGTGCGCCACCATGCCCAGCTATTTTTTTTGTATTTTTAGTAGAGATGGAGTTTCACCATGTTGGCCAGGATGGTCTTGATCTCTTGACCTCGTGATCCCTTGGCCTCCCAAAGTGCTGGGATTACAGGCGTGAGCCACCGTGCGCCCGGCCTCTTGTTTATTTTTTAAGCTAATCCATTTAATCTCTTTTAAGATAACTGGCATACTAAAAGCTCTTCCCCAGGGCTCAGTCACCTACAGCCCTGCTTTACTCCCTCAGCCCCTGGGAATGTTGCATTTAGCAAAGCAGCACAACTCAAGAGAACTGTATGGTGAGCTACAAATGCGAAGGCTCCTGAGTCACCACCTTACCTCAGACTCATCTGTAGATTCTTCAAGGGACCCAGTTTCCTATAAAGCACATAAAAAGAAAATGGTCAGAAGAGATGATAAAAGAATAACTATCATTTGCAAGAAGAAAGAGTTCTCATGTTCCTACCACCACCCATCTGGCCTTTTTGGAAGAAAATCTACAACTACACTTTACAGGACCACACGCTCAGACTTCCACATGCCTCCTGCCACTTCTCCACACTCTGGCAGGCAGATCCTGCTGCTTTCCCTCAAAGAGTTAACAGGGAAACAAATTACCCCAGGAACTTGTCATATGAAGGCCTGGAAGACTCTCTCCCTTGTTAATAATGGAAACCCATCTGGCAAAGCAGCCTCACTGATCTCGGAAGGGAAGAGGAAACTGCCATGTCAAGTTACCTACAAGCCAATATATATACTGAAACGTTCTTGTGCTATTAATTATTATGCTATTAATCTGGTTGAGTTAAAATGATTGCCTTGCTAAAACAGCTTTTTAAAAAGAATCTCCTGCAGTGGTACCTGCCAGACCCTGTGTAAACAAGCTGTATAATTTACATGCACTCTTTAAACCATCACCACTAAGACAAGTTCTGCCATTTAACACAGCTGCCCTCTTGCTAGACAATGAATCTTGCCGCTGAAAGAAACAAAGCAAAAAGGGAAAAATTGACTTGCTCCTGCTAATCTCTCACCTGTCCAGTGAAAGAGAGAATCTGCTGATGCCATGCATCCTCAAAGAGGTCAGCAAAATGAAGATTTACTTAACGTACTTATAGATATCAATAGCAATAAAAGGTTACAACTAATATGCTGACACCGAATGTAAGCACTTTACAACGACCCGTGAGATAAACAAAGAAGAAAAAAATGAGGCAAGGACATTTTAGATATAACTAATATATTTTCAAGAAAAAAATGAACATTTTAAAGAAGATCAGATGCATATATTACTCAATAAAAGCTGGAGAGCAGGAAAAATGTGAACTAGTGTTTAAAATCATTTTCATTTCATTCATCCAAAATCAGCAAGAGCCTGACAGGTGGCAGGCACGCTCCAAAGTACAGCCTTGTGGACCACACAGTCCTTGCCCTCAAAGGCCATGGGTAAAATGGGGATTAATGTTCCTTGTAAGTAAGAATTGTATTATACTTATATCATTAACCACAATGAATATTAGAATCTCCTCTGTGTCTCAATGCAGCCTGTTTCTGTGTCTTAGAAAGTTCTTATTCATTTGAAGCTCCAATAATCCACAGTAATATTTTTGTTCTTAGCAGTACATTAAAAAACAAAAAACAATTATTCCACTACCTGATAGCTGTCCGGAGAGTTACTGACATGTGATCACGCTCCACCCTCTGAAATGCTTCTCTCCTGCACTCACCATCACAGTTCCTGGCTTTAGTCCCCTCACTGTACCGATGCTTCTCTTGCGGACGTGGTCCACTTTAACATGAACTGTCACATCTATTATACACTGCTCATTATGTCACATTCACCGCCTGCATTATAACCTTTCCTAACACCTCTCAGGTTGGAAGAGTGAGGCTTACAGGTTAAGTGTAATGACTTCTAACATCCTTACCATCTCTGTGAGTCACTGAATATCATGTTATTAACATTAGCAAAACAAGCGTTTGATATCTATGCCAATAAATCACACCTAGGTTCCTATTTCCTGGATGTAGAATTCTAAAAGAACACTTGAGTACTCTTTTCAGAAAAAGTACATTAAACCTAAGGAAAATTTTTTTCTCATATAGAATCCACTCAGCTCATGCCTATAATCCCAGCACTTTGGGAAGCCCAGGTGGGATGATCACTTAAGCCCAGGAGTTTGAGATCAGCCTGGACAACACAGTGAAACCTCATCTCTAGAAAACACAAAAAGAAGACTAGCTAGGTGTGGTGGGGTGTGCCTATAGTGCCAGCTACTTGGGAGGATCACTTGAACCTGGGAGGATCGATCACTTGAGCCCAGTAGGTCAAGGCTGCAGTGAGTTGTGACTGAGTCACTCCAATATAACCTGGGCAACAGAGTGAGACCCTCTCTCAACCAAAATAAAACAAAAAAATTATCTTAAGTGAAACAACTCAGAAACAGTCAAATATGCATATTCTTACTTATAAGTAGAAGCTAAATAATATGGACACATGGACAAAGAGTATGGAACGGCAAACAATGGATACTGAGAAGGGGAGATGCTGAGAAAATGACTTAATGGATACAATGTATACTATTCAGGTGACAGTGACATTAAATCCCCAAAGTTCACCACTGTGCAATGTATTTAACAAAATTGCACCTATACCCTTACATTTATATAAATTAAAAAAGAAAAAAAATAAGTCTCCAACCAGCAATTTTAATACAAAAACTCAAAATCAAATTAGATTTTCTCCACATCAGAGAGCATGCAGAGCCAGAATTTGATACCTTGAGGCATGCAGATCTGAGATCTGAATCGTCAGGGGAAACTGAGCCCTGAGAGTAGCTTCCTTGGCTGCTGGAATCAGTGGAAACTCTGAAACTTGCCCTCAGCACCACTATGAACATCTCACACAGAGAGGTGACCTCAAAAAAACCTTTTTCCCACAATCCTACCATAGCAATGTATTAGCCTGGTCTGCTATTTCTTATCTTCATTCATTCATCGAGCCCTCTGATAAACGTGCTAGAGACAGAAAGGCAAACAAGAAGACATAAAGTAAATGTTCTCGGTAAGAAATCCAAGAAGTAAGGTTCTAAGTAAGGCTGAGAAAGGTTACAATTTGAGACAGTCAGTGGTTTTCAAGCTTTTTTTTAGTCTCATACTCTCATTTAAAGACTCCAACTTCAAATCCTGAAGATATAAGTTATAAAATTTTGCTGTTTTCAAAGTGAAATAAGCAAAACACAAAAGGATAAATACTGCATGATTCCACTTACATAACACGGAAGTAAAACAGAGATTACCAAAGTACGAAGGAGGATGTGGCAAGGAGTTATTGTTGAATGGTACAGAGTTTCAGCTTGTGAAGATGATTCAAGTTTCAAAGAGGCCGAGTGGTTGTCTTAGTACATTTGTGTTGCTCTCAAGGAACACCTAAGGCTGGGTAATTTATGAAGAGCGTTGGGCCCACGGTGGCTCATGCCAGTAATCCTAGCATTTTGGGAGGCCAAGATGAGCAGATCATGAGGTCAAGAGATTGAGACCATCCTGGCCAATACAATGAAAACCCGTCTCTACTAAAATACAAAACTTAGCTGAGTGTGGTGGTGCGCGCGTGTAGTCCCAGCTACTCGGGAGGCTGAGGCAGAAGTGCTTGAACTCAGGAGGCAGAAGCTGCAGTGAACAGAGATTGCACCACTGCACTCCAGCCTGGTGCCTGATGTCAGAGCAAGACTCTTTCTCAAAAAAAACAAAAAAAGAAAGAAAGAAAGAAAGAAAAGAGGGTTATTTCACTCATCGTTCTGCAGTCTGTACCAGAAGCTAGGCACCAGCACTGCTTCTGATGAGGGCCTCAGGCTGTTTCTACTCATGGCAGAAGGTTGAAGGGTAGCTGGCATATGCAGAGATCACATGACAAGACAGGAAACAAAAAAAGGGCAAGGGGAAGATGACAGACTCTTTTTAACAACCAGGTCTCATGGAAACTAGTAGAGAGCTCACTACCTCAAGGATGGGACCAAGCCATGATGAGGAGTCTGACCCCATGACCCCAACACCTCCCACCTCTAATATTAGGGGGACATGAGATTTGAGATGGACAAACATCAAAACTCTAGCAATGGTTATGGCGGGACAACAACATGAGTGGATATAATGCCACTGAATCATGCACTTAAAATGGTTAAAGTGGGGGTAGCTCACACCTATAATCCCAGCACTTTGGGATGCTGAGGCAGGAGGACCGCTTAAGGCAAGGGAATCCGAAACCAACCTGGGCAACACTGCAAGATCCTGTCTCTACAAAAAAAAAGTGTGCAACTTTTTAAACGGTTAAAATGGTAATTTTATGCTATGTATATTTTACCATAATAAAAAAAGTGCTATTCCAAACAGAGCAAAAGTGATAGGCTGGAAGATACCCAGTGATACAATGTCTAGCTAGGCCACCTCTGGGAACAGATGGACAGCTAAACTCATAAACACTTCACTCTACCTTTCTTTTGCAAACCAATCTCTTAAGCCCAATCACCTAACCAAACAGCTTTACCTAATGATGCCTGGGCCTTGACATATGGCCTCTCTAATATACTCATCACCTGCCATCAGGATTATCTTCCCATAGCACAGGTCAGATGGCCACTGCCCTCCTCAAACAAGCCTCCGTAGTGTCCCAGCCTGAAGAACAGCTTTCAGATTCCCCGGCAAAGGAGTCAAAGTCCTTCCCAATCTGGCCCCCAACAGATCTTTAGCCTCACTCCCCACTCTCTCCACAACCGATGACCCTCCAGCCACACTGCAGAACCCCTAGTGGAGATATTGCTTATATCTCTATGCCACAAGTGGCAAATCAGTGGCTGGGGGCCTGGATATGGCCTGCAGGTGTTTTGTTTGGCCTAGGTGGTGTTTTTTAAAAAGCTTCCATATAAAAACCTATAATCCTGACTATATGTCTACATAGGATCCACACTTCCACGTAACATCAGCTGTAGCTGAGTGGTTACACCCAGGACAGAACAATGCACTCCATCACCACCCCCACCACTCCCAATTTCCAACACCCAGGCACTCCTGCTCATGTGCACCGCCACCTGCCTGCCTGAATTTGTGCTGCTTGCTCTGCACTTTCCTGATGTCATTCCCTCCTCTTAGAAGTCCCTGGCCCCGCTCTGCACTCATCCTGATGGAATGCTCTACAGGCTCAGCGGACCCCTGGGGATACCCCAGGGAGGAGTTGCCAGGCACTCACCCTGAACAACATCAGAGCTTAGTTTTTATGTTTCTTCCCATACTCCTCAGCTAGCACCTAATATTAACTGCCTTGTCCTACCAGTGTTCATTTTAAACATGCTGTGGATAAACCCAAAGGTTCCGCCCTCTTTGTCTCCCAGTATCCCACTGGAAGGACATGTTGCTGGTGATGATGATGAGATAAGCTGTCAATCTAAAACAATATTCTACCTCCTCTATATATTGCCCTTCCACTTAGAATACCAAGCATATTTTCTCCAGACTCATATCTGAATTGTCAGCTTAAGAACTTAGGAGAGTCACAGAAAGGGGACTGCAGGAAGGTAGCAGCAAACAAGGATGCAGCAATTCCAACAATTCCTTGGGCTCCTAGAAGACTTCTCTAACACAGGCTTTCAATCAACCCCCGCCCCTAATCCTCCCATCAGCACAGAACCCTATGACAGTGGCCTGGGAGAAGGCTTGGCACAGCTGGCCTCAGAGGTCAGGAGGGGTGATGAGGAAGACTGTCAGCCCAGGAGAGAGAGGATCCAGGACCTGCCTGGGTTGTGAAGTCCTCAGAATTGTAAGGGCCCGCATACTGTTGGAAAAGAAAAACGGAATTTGGGGGAGAAATGGTAAGCTGGCGTCTGGGGAAGGCCACTCCAAGCTTTGTGGGAAGGCTGACCTGGCTCTGTGTTGCAGGAAAAAACCAAGCAGACATCAGCTCCAAGAAATCATCTATCTCCATCTATGCCTGGAGGTACATGTGAACACTCACTGAGATAATGCCACCTTCTCTCTCTTCCCAACAAACTGTATGCCCCAGCTGACATAATGAGAAAGGGAGTTGTAATAGATCCCACCGTCTGATACAGGCAGAGGAAGGAGGAAATATTTTGTGTGGTATATGTTTGATATTCCTGTTGTCACAGAACTTCAGTTTAAAAAAGCTCAAAGGAGTTGTGGCCAGTCTTAGACACTCAGGGCCTAGGCTGGTTGAGTAGGAAAGATGAGGACTCAGGTCACCACACCCATTCGACTCACTGGGCTCAGCTACTGCACTCATCTTATTCTGCAAATGAAAAAAAATCTTGATGTCTGCCCCAGCATGAAAACAAGGATAATTTGGTAACCCGGTGACCCTGTCCCAAATCTGGCTTTGCATCAGAATCATCAAAACTCAGTTTGCAGAGTCAGCTAATACCCACTAACACACTCCATCTTCACAGATTCTGATTCAGTAGGTTTAAAATAAGAGCCTGGAAGAGTGGTTTTTAACAACAACAACAACAAAACCGTAAGGAGGCTCAGGCATCAAGAAGAAACAAAGGCAACAGGGGACTCCACAGCCATGAACAGGAAGCAGCACGGACACAGAAGCCCCCGTCCTGATGAGTGTCCTGTCTCCAAGGTGTTAATGTGGGTGCCACAGGGGAGGCTACTAACAAGCAGCGAGTGAACTGGCCTCTAGCCAACCAACTCAGGTGAAGATGAGTGGGAAAACTTACAAAGCGAAAAGCCAGTCCAGCAGAACTAACCTGTGACTACATTTGAGGTACATGACCGGAAAGAGTATGCCCTCTAAAAATCTGTCTAATGCTACACTGTTGCAACTTCTTGTTTGGGCTTCCTTTTCCCTTTAGTTAGTAGTAATGTTGGCCTTAAAATATCTGTCTCAGCCAAACTGTAAGAAAAGAGAATGGCACATATATAAGCCAAGTCCAAGTTTCGATGATTAACCTCCGTCCCATTTATACAATCATTTCAGCCTAGTCACTTTAACACACTTCATACTCACAAAAGTTTTAATATACTTCATACTCACAGAGGTTTTAGGGAGGAAAATTCCCAGTTTACAGGCAAGAAAACTGAGGCGCTCAAATTTGTGTTGATTTGATTTTTATTGTAACACAATCACACAGGGATAGACATCATGACAAACGTGCCATCTAATAATCCATAAGTGATCTACAATAAGGACAGAATTCCCCTAATTTCTAAAATGCAGAGGGAGAATTCAAAGTAGAAACTCTCCTACTTGGTTCAGGAATAGATGGTTCAATCGTGGAAATACTTTAATGGACCAGGGTCCAGGCTGCTTGAGTAGGAAAGATCAAAGGGTACCTGGGGAGCGGGCAAGATAAAGAGAGTATAGAATGTAATCCACATTACATCTGAATTAATAACTTAAAAGAGGTTCAAGTAAGATAAAGCAATTTCATGCAAATCCTACTAATTTACAATTTGACAATTTGGAATGGTATGTTCCCCCTAATAAATTCATTTAAACGCTTTATTAAACAACCTAGTACCTATAAAACATGAGTCCTGTGGAAGATACAGACATGAGTAAGTTCTTGTTCCTATTTTGAGGACTCAGCAATCTGTAGGAGAGATAAGACAAATACACAAACAACCAGACTTCAAGCAGAATGTTATTCATAAGAGAGATATGGACAAATACTGTTGGGCATCTGTGATTATGAAGGTCAACTATAAATCGTTTTGAAGCTAAGTAAAACTGCTGGGTAGAAGATTTCCAGGCAGAATGCAGGGTATTCGTTTTTTCTGTAAACTATAAAATATATATGTACTTTTGACAACTACCTTTACCATATTAGGCAAAAGCAAGGATCTCCCAATGACTTATAAAAAATTTTTCATTCATATCTAAAAAGCAATTTTAGTTTTAGATCCTCTGAGCTGTTTTATACTACAATAACTCAGTGCAGATGTCACTATTTTGGTCCTTCTGAAAATGAAGGTGGGGGAGGGAAGCAATCACCAAAGAAAACACCACTCAGGAAAGACAATGTGGAGAGGTTTAGTTTTGTGTTGCTAATCCTGGGGATTACTGGCATTTATGATACATGATACCAAGAAAAAAAAATTATGCCAAATTTTCTAAAACTTGGTTCAATGTAACAGAACAGTTAACAACTTTCTTTTCTTTTTTCTTTTTTTTTTTTTTTAAAGATGGAGTCTCCCTCTTGTTGCCCAGGCTGGAGTGCAATGGCACAATCTCGGCTCACTGCAACCTCTACCTCCTGGGCTCGAGTGATTCTCCTGCTTCAGTCTCCCAAATAGCTGGGATTACAGGTGTCCACCACCATACCTGGCTAATTTTTTTTTGTATTTTCAGTAGAGATAAGGTTTCACCATGTTGGCCAGGTTGGTCTCAAACTCCTGTCCTCAGGTGATCCACCTGTCTCAGCCTCCCAAACTGGTGTGACTACAGGCATGAGCCACCACGCCCAGTCCTATTTTTTTTCCACTTTTATATACTTTTAGCTTTAAAAAAAATGGTACAATAAAGCCCTACTATCTTCATCAGACTTCAATGGATTCCTACTGCAAAATACAAAATGCAAAAAAAAAAAAAGGCAGAGAAAAGCGTAGCCATTTTTAATCTATAAAGAACAAGAGTAGGTACAATTACTAGCTTTCTTTTAAAAAACAACTGAACAATTAGTGAATGTTGTCTTTATTTTTTAGCCATTTACAAAAGACTGCTTGGGTTTTTTTGTTTTTTTGTTTTGTTTTTTGAAACAGGGTCTTGCTTGCCCTGTTGCCCAGGCTGGAGTGCAGTGGCACGATCATGGCTCACTGCTGCCTCAACTCCCTTGACTCAAGTGATCCTCCCACCTCAGCCCCCAAGTAGCTCTGACTACAGGTGCACACCACCATGCCTGGCTAATCTTTGTAATTTTTGTAGAGATGGGGTTTTGCTATGTTGCCCAGGCTGGTCTCCAACTCCTGGGCTTAAGCAGTCACCCGGTCTCGAACTCCTGGGCTCAAGCAGTCACCCGATCTCGGCCTCCCAAAGTGCTGGGATTACGGGCATGAACCACTGTGCCTGGCCCACCAGTGGGCTTTTTAAGAAAGACAGTGACACCACTGGGGAGGAGAATGCCCACTCCAATTGTATATTGGCTTTTAAAGCATCAAAGGTGGAATGATGGCTCGAGGGAAAATCATTAAAATGAAAAGGGCTAATTGTACTTTATAAAGTAAAAACATGATTTAGATTTAGGTTCTTACGTATATTTTAAAAGGTAGGGTATTCTAGTGAAAAGTCATGAGCTTTGGAGACAGAGGACTGTTGATTTATTATATTATAGATATAGGCCTGAGCAAGTTACTCAAGTTGACTGAATTTCAATTTGCTTATCAGTAAAAATCAATCATCTAACACATATTAAGTACCAAGCAATCTTCTAGGTGTTGGACATACAGCAGTGAACAAAGCCTTGTCATGATGGAGCTTATGTTCCAAGCTCTGTGGTGAGAGGTACACAGAAATATACAGAAACAAACAAACGAATTTTAAAATACAGTACGTCAAACAGTGATGTGCATTATAGAAAAAAATAATGCAGGAAGGTTTCAAAGCGTGGTCAGGGAAGGTCGCATTGTAAAAGAACACTTGGACAAAGACATGAAGGAAATGAGGAAGAAAGCCTGTAAATATCAGGGTTCCTCAAAAAGGAAGAGCATGAGCAAAGACCCTGAGGTAGGAACCTGCCTGGCTTTTTGAGGAATAAGCTGATGCAGAGTCACAGAAGGGGAGGAGGAAAGCAGTTGGAAAACAAGGTCAACAAAGGGTGGCTAAGGGCAGCTGGGTCAAGGTCCTGTGGGGCAATCAGGCTACTGTAGTGGATGTGGGCTTCTCCTCTTAACAAGATGAGAAGCCACTGGAAAGTCTGGAACATCAGAGGTGTTTCACCCATGTCTGAGAATAAACATTTACCTCACGGAATTCTTTTGGGAGGACCAAATGCAATATGGAAGGGTTTTTAAAACTAGAATATAATGTACAAACGTGAAACATTATCATATCCCTAACTTTGTATGTGTCATTTTTACATCAGACAACTTTGTCAAATTTCTTCTCCACTAAACAGTGGTAAATATTTCAAAGGTTTTTTCCAAGAGAATAAAACAATGGTTTTTCTAAGAACAACTCTCACCATTTCTATATTACACTACATCTAAGAAAATACGCAAGTTTTTTGCTTTTAAATCAAACCATGAAACAAAATTTCAACATGAAATAAAGACGCACAATGTGAAAAACAATCTCATCCTTATTCAAACGAGTGATGGCAGTCCTGAAATGATATGTTCTTAATGAGTGTTTTCCTTTGAACTGCTAAAATGGAAAAGGGAGGCGTGTTAGGTAAGGTATTTTGTTATCTTGTTATTACAATGACCAGCCAAACCAAATTTCTACCTAGTCAAATGTCTTCATTACTGGCACACATAAAACATACAGAACACATTTTCACTATGAAGTAAAAACAAATGAAGTGTGTTGAAATGGTAAAAATCGTCTCTTAGGATTCCAAACAGCCCATCATCAAGTCACTGTTTAGTTAACTGGTAAGAAAAACAGTGTCCTACTGAAATAACACTGGAAATGGAAACTTTACCTCCCCTAAGTTCTAGCCTCTTTTTTTGGTCTGCTTCTCTTGTCTTTTTTACTTTGTCATTTCATATAATGTGTGATTACCACTATTGCTATATGAAAATAATTTATATTCCCATCACTCATTTCTACCCTAAACTCCAGTGCCACTTTGCCTTTTGTTGACTGGATACTGCCAGCTCATGACCCGCCAGCAACAAATAATCCCATTTAACTTTTATGGACCGCAACAGTTCTAAGCACTCTAACCTTGTGTATAAACTCTATCCTAAACCACCCTCTGAGGATGGATGGCCCTATTATAATCCCCATCTTAACACTGGAAAGTTAAATAGGTGGCTCAAAGTAACACACTGAGTAAGAAAAGGAACCAGCACGTGGACCCCAGCCATTTTTGCTCCAGAACCGATGCACTTAATCCCTGCTGCACCGCAACTGTGATTCAGTTCTGTACCTAAATACAAAGCAAGACTCATCGTCTCCTCTCTCCTAGTTCTTACTGTCCTACTTCAAGTGGAAGGCAACTTAAATTTCAATCACCTGGCCTCTCTTCCGCCTCCCACAGGTAGCCAGTCCCTGGGGTAGCCCTTCTCGCCAAAATTTCCCTGGGCAAAGGTCACAGGAATAGGGGCCCACGGAAAGGCCGCCTCCCGAACGCGGGGGTGTGTCGGTACGCTTTCCCCAGGTGCCCTCCCCGGGCTGACATGGTCTCTGCTCTCGGAAAGGAACTCTCGCCCTCCCACCCCGCCCTGCCGCGGTCCTGCTTGCCCTCTTCTAGCAGCTCCGCACCTCCACCCACTCCACTCCACCCTCCCCAAACAGCCCACCCTGGTGTCCACAACCCTGTACCCTCAACTAGCAGTTGCACTCTTTACCTGCTCCTCTGCTTCCGCCATGGCGCGACCGGAGAGTCACATGACAGACCCGGAAATGAGAGGAAACCAGACACTGGGCCCTGGGCCTTCTGGGAAATGTAGTTTTAGCTTCGTCTGAGCCTGGAAATCTCTTCGAGGGTACGGACTTACTTCGAGGGTACTGGAGTTCATTTCTGCTGCCAATTCTCCGAGCTCAATGGAGTTCTGCTTTGAAGAATCTGAACATAACCATTACTAATACTATAGCTTATTTTATTGTTCTTCTTTCTGTGGTTATTCTAGTATCTATTAAGCACTTACTTTATCACACCCTCGGTTTAGCGCTTTGCATAAATTATCTCATTTAATCCTCAGAGCAATCCCTACTATCATTCCCATTTATAGGGGAGAATACCGTAGCTCAGAGGTCGTGCATCTAGTAGGGGGCAGAACTAGGAATAGAATTCAGCCTTCTCTGATGCCAAAGACTCTGTGATTACTAAATGCTGCTTACTCTACAAGTGTTCTTGCCTTTTTTTTTTTTTTTTTTTTTTAACATTTTTAAGTATATTCAGTGAATATAAAGTAGTCTTTGCAGTGGAGAGCCAGAGAACAATTTATAAGTCAACAAATAATATTATTTTTGCTTGCTACTTTAAATTGTCTTCTTCTGTCATGTGAACATTGATTTTAAAAAATCTCAGTTGTTTAATAAATTAATTGTTAAACCTTTGTTGAGGATATTCAACAGGTAAATGTTCAAATCAAGACACAGTATAAAGTTGTCCTTGGCCAAAATTTGCACAACCACTGTATTGCTTCTAGCCTCCAGAATGACTGATCCCCTCTCCATGTTTCTGAACATTATGAATTCTGTTTCTTAATCCTCAGGAATCTGCAGCATCTTGTTCAAAGACAGGCATTTTAAAATTCCCATTCACTGGAGTAGCTGGTGACCAGCAGAGGGCATCGCAAATGGCAGCATGTGGGGGTTGCCTCAGTACCTTTTTTGACTCCCTGTGCCTCAGTGGCCCAGAAGCCAAAGTGACATAATCTCTGAGACACATGTGTTCTCTCCAGGGCCTAAACGGCCTTACCTCCAGAGTCAGCCACCAGCATTGGCATTGTGGCAGAGACTCAAATACAGACACAAGAGTAGGAAGGTGGAAAAAGGGAAGGCTTCAGGTAGGCCCTGGTTAGAGGCTGTTGGCATGAGAAAGCTGCAGGTGGGCTATCTATAAGTGGGGCAACCTACGTGATTGGTTAGGGGTGGATGTTTGGTTTTCTCTGGTTGATCCTATTTGGGGTGAAGATAAAAATTAAGGAAGTTGTCAACTATCAATAAAGTCCTGGTCATTTTAGGCTGATTGTTTCAGAGGTTATAGTTAAGTTTCCTAGGTTGCTACTAGAGATGGCATTTTGACTGTCAGGCTAGATTCCTGGGTTGTCTATTGTAGACAATGGCTTGGTTTCCTGGGCAAGTCGCTGCAGGTTGCTTCAGACTCTGGGTCAGGGCCCTATTTTAATATACCATCTGGCCATTGTCTCTTTATGTATTCAATCTCTCACAATTTTATTTTCCCATGAGCTACACATGAGAGTTCTAAACCCTCCTACTGTCAAACATTACATATTATCATTTTTTACACATTTTGTCAATTTAGCTGGGGAAAATAGTATTAATATTTTAATTTTTGTTTTAACTTGTACTTCTTTGATTTATGATGAGTTGATGTTTTTCATAAGTTTACTGGCCATTTTCAACTTTCTTCTGTCCTTTCTACTCTTGCTCTTTACCCATCTTTCATAGGAAAGTTGATCTTTTTCCTGCTTGGCTTGTAAAAGAAATGTTCAATAGATATTTGGTTACTTAATTTTGAAGCTGATAGGAGTCTGGTGCTGAAGGTAAGTAATCTGAGGTTTTCAGCGCGTAGTAGGTTGGTGCAAAAGTAATTGCGGTTTTTGCCATTACTTTTCATTGATATTTGAAGTATAGTATTGTGTAGTATTACAACCTAAGACAGAATCTTAGAAAATACATGGATTTGAGGGAACATTGAAGGGATAGAGTTTAGACTCACTCTAGTGGTTCTCTTGCTAAATTCTTGTGAAATTAGTGTGCCTTGATTTGCACCAAGGGATTTTATTTGTAAAATCAAATAGTCACTTTATTTTCCCAATTCACAGAAAGAAATCAATTGATTAATGGGTAAAATAGTTTATTTAGGTTTTCACATGTGCTTTCTTGAAATATTTGATTTTTTGCTGTTACTTAGCTATAACAAGGACCGAGACATAAAAATACATAAAAATAGTAAATAAATCCCAACAATAAAATCAAAAAGAGACTATCGAGCTTGCTTTGACAACTCCTTAGTTTTATTTTATTTTATTATTATTTTTCTTTTGAGATGGAGTTTCGCTCTTGTTACCCAGGCTGGAATGCAATGGCGCCATCTGGGCTCACCGCAACCTCCGCCTCCTGGGTTCAGGCAATTCTCCTGCCTCAGCCTCTTGAGTAGCTGGGATTACAGGCCCGCACCACTGTGCCCAGCTAATTTTTGTATTTTTAGTAGAGCCGGAGTTTCACCATGTTGACCAGGATGGTCTCGATCTCTTGACCTCGTGATCCACCCTCCTCGGCCTCCCAAAGTGCTGGGATTACAGGCGTGAGCCACCGCGCCCAGCCTCCTTAGTTTTAAACATGTACCAGGCATCCAGCACAGTGTCTGGTGCATAGTAAGATCACTATAATTGTTTGCTGACTGAATCAATTAATTAATTGAACATCTTTCCATTCATGGTGTTTTCTCAAGAACTAGACTATTTGGTGCCCTGCCACCTAAGTACGTTTCAGACATGTTCCATGAGAAAATAAAAAGACATCGAAGATTTAGAGCAATAAATGACACAGAAAAGGGGTATCTGGGAAGTTTAAGTGAGCCGTTGTGTGAGAGTTTGAAGGTGGGAGTGACCAAATCAGTTGAAAAGATCAGATGTGACTTCAAGGAGCACATCCTATGGTCCTTAAAGGATAGGTGAGAGGCTGATGGTAAGAGGAAAGGGAGAAATAGTCCATGTAAAGGGAACAGTATTAAGGAAAGACATAAAGATGTGGAATAGCATTCAAAGAGTCAGATAAAAGACCAATTATGTAGGATGGTGCTAGAGTCTGTTGATATAAATTTGTGTATAATTCCACTGGCAGTTGTAGCAGAGACCACTAAATGCCTGCCTAATATCCATTCACTTCTACTTTATTTGTAAAAGAACTCCTAAAATATTAGACGCAGCAATATGTTTAAATAAAAAGTATTTCCTGGTCTCCATCACAGTTTGGTATGGCTGTATGATTAAGTTCTGGTCAATGATATACAAGTGGAAATGTTATTCATGCCTTTCAGGGAAGTCTCTTAAAGGGGAACAGACAGCTGGGGATATCTCTTTTACCCTTTCTGCTATTAGATTCTCCAACTACCATATAGGTCCCTTAAGTGACCTTAAGGATGAAAACCAAATTCTAAGGATGAAGCAGAAAAATAGGAGAAGTCTGGATCCCTGATGTCCGAAGCTACCATGCCACTCTAAACTGCCTGCCTCCAAACTCATGTTTTTTGAAGCAGAGTTTTACTCCTGTCGCCTTGGATGGAGTCCAATGGCACCATCTTGGCTCACTACAACCTCCACCTACTGGCTCAAGTGATTCTTCTACCTCAGCCTCTCAGGTAGCAGGGATTACAGGCATGTGTCATCGCACCTGGCTAATTTTAGTAGAGATGGGGTTTCACCATGTTGCTGAGGCTAGTCTCAAACTCCTGAGCTCAGATGACCCACCCCCTGCACTTCCCAAAGTGCTGGGATTATAGGCATAAGCCATTGTGCCCGGCCTCCAAACTCATTTTGAATGAAATAGAAATCCCTTTTGTTATTGTAGCTTGCCTATCACATGCAGACAGACTTAATCCTAACGGATACAGTGCTGGAGAGCATTGAGAAGTTTTGAGAATAGAAATGACTTGGCTGAAAGGTATCACCTACTGCACCTGAGGACATTATTATTTTTCTATGTGCCCACATGACACAGGAGAAAGGGAGAGATCACATGCTCACATGTGTGAGAACAACAAACTTTCAGATTATAAAAGTTTTGGAACTTGGGACACAGGGCAAGAACAGTACTGCCCGGGAACCAACTTGCATTTGGTTCTTTCTAGTTCATCGTGATGTTTAACAGCTTGAGAATCAGATCAGGATTCAAATTTTGTGTGTGCCATTTATAATAAAATCTAGGACAAGAGAACTTTTCCAAACTCCAGTTTTCTTAGCTGTTAAATAGGCTAAAAGTACCTTCCAATCAGGGTTGTTGAGAAAAACAAATGAGCATATGTACGTCAAAGTCCTTGCCAAATGCTGGAGTCCAGTTGTATTTACACCGTCGTACTGCTGTTTTGTTTCTGCACTTCGGTGTGCCCATAACGAGCACTGCTGTCTCTTCTTCAGGTTTCATTTTCCATCATCCTCATTTAGAGGCACAGGACCACTCTCAAGAATTACTTGTTTTCACAAAAAGAAGAAAAGGAATTTGGGGGAATGTGCAGAGTTGCCCTTTACCCAGTCTCTCAAAGGAGACTGTTCAGGGATTATCAGAGGCCTCTTATAGATAAAGAGTGTGGCCCAAAAATATTAGTTTCTGTACAATTATAGAGAACATAGAGTTGTACCTTACTCATAGTGAGTTTAGGAAATGCTACCAGTTACCCTTTTGTATGCGATTTCCCATAAATGGTCATCCTTCTAGGTGTGTGTGCTATCATAAGCAATGTATTTTGTCTTTGTCTCTGGTTCCTGGCACAGAACACTTAAAACCTTTAGAATTTTCTGAGCAGTAGGATAACATTTTATTGTCGGATCCCTTTTTATTACACTTGAGTTTATGCTAATGAAGTAACTTAGAGTGGGGTTCCGATATAGCAGCAAGTTGGAACTCATTACCAGAAAGACCAATTGATCGTAGGGTTGGAACTTTCAGCAGCACCCCACCCCCACCAGGGAGGGGGTGGGGAAGACTGGAGATTAAGTTCTATAACACCTCTTGAAAT